TGGAGTTTTATCTTGATGACTCTCTGTGGTCTTTGCTTGTTTCAAGTTTATCTCTGCCCTGGATGGATATTCATGTTGTCTCTGTATTTACATATCCGAGAGGCTGAATGCCTGAGTGGCAGCAGTCCCCCAGCAATCCAGGACGGGGAGACAAAAGGCTGCCTGGAGATTGTCATTTCAGAGGGGCAATACTGAGGCCACAGAGGGAAGCGATGCCCGCTGAGCCGGGCTGGGCTGGGGCTGGGAACGGGAACACGCTTGGTGCTTGACTCCCAGTTCTGGGCTCTTTTAACAAACCAGGCTGTCCTGCTGTTAGAAATGTGCCCATCAGGGCTAGAGGTGGGAGGACGCTCGGGTGCCAGGCATGGGGGTACAGAGCACCAAGGACTCTGGGGCCTGCTCTCCATGCAGGTGTAGATAAAGAGTCTTGTTCATAACAAGGGTGGGGCGGTGAGGTCACCAAAATGCATGCTGCATGGGCTGCCCATGGCTGGGAACTCCCTCTGAGTTTTCGGTCATCAATAGGGGACTTGGAGGCCACTGCTCATGCTCATCCAAATTCAAGTAACACCCACCTTGCCAAGTCCCTTAGCCTGGCACCTCTTTAAGAAACCTCCCCACCCCCTACTGGCCACCAGGTCTGGGCAAGGGTGTCCCTCCTCTGAACATCCCCAGCGTGGACGCTCCCTGAGCATGGTCTACCCAGTGCACAAGTGGGACTTGGGGATGGTTTGCTGAGTCACAGGAGGAAGTGCTGATTCAACTCATCTTCATCCAGCAAGTCCTAGTGAGACCCTTCCTCCTGCCAAGGTCCAGTCTGCTTTCAGTCAGGCCTTGGACACAGATGTGAGGGCCCTGTGGGGTGCTTCTTCCACAACCGCAGCTCAGCCCTCGGTGTCTGCTTGTCCCTGTGGAGGCCCGTGTCCTGGCAGCCGATACCCCCAGGTGCCAAGATATCTCGTCACCTCCTCTCCGATCTACCCAATTCTAGAAACATCCTCCTGGCAGTCCGGCTTTGAAAGGCTGTGTTGGGGCCATTTACAAAAATCTCTTGGAAATCCCTAGGACTTGAGGCCATGAGAGTTTTTTATTTTTTTAAGAGTAGGGTTTATCACTAAATTTTCCTTTAATGGTTTTGCAGTGACATGAGATGCTTTTGTTTCCTGAGAGAAAAGGCATGTTTCAGATGAATTATTGACCAAAAACAATCAGCCGTGAGCAAGAAATCCTCCATTTCGCTGGAAAGAAATGTGGACAGGCAGCTGCCGTGTGTGAGGATGCTATCTCTTACAGCCCCAGCTGCGGTCAGCGCCTGGGGGCAGGGGGGCGCACGTTGCTCTGCAGGTGGGGTTGCAGCTCCTGCTGTCTCCTTCTCTCTCCACCAAGGGGTCAGGCCTCCCTCCCCAGCCTTCTTCTAGGTGGGTTCTGGCAGCATTGGGCTCTATTTCTGCCTTCACCTGCAGTTAGCACAGTCCCCGCTTGTCATTGAATATGTCTGCCGCACCAGGGATGCTCTCTCTGGATTAAGAAGACATCGAAGTCAAAGGGCGGGGTCCTATTCCTCGGTGTCCCCAGGTCTTGGTCCGGAGATGGATGCAGAGCCTGGCGCGGGGTAGCAAAGGGGCTGCACAGCAGAGGGTCCGCTTACACCCGTGTGCCTGCTCCACTGGCTTCCTGCAGGGAGGCCGACCTTGACTGTGTGTCCTGATTCCCCTGCTTCTTGGGTTTGGCCAGTGGGAGGCACGCACGGGAAACCTAAGCGTGGAGAGCAGCTGGGAGCATTTCTTACCCTTCCTCCCTGTTTTTGGGCTGCTTCTCTGACAGTTCCAACCACAGCTTCTGCCAGGCCTCCTTCTCCTAAGTGCGAGTCTCTCGCGAGGTTCCCATGGCAGTAGTTCCCCACTTGCCTTGTCTTCCTGGGGGTGCTAACGGCTCCCACTCTGCAAGTCCCTGAGTGCCTCACCTGCCCCATTTACTCTCTGGGTCTGCCCAAAACGCCAGAATAATCCTGGCCTGCCCCCTGGAAGAAGCCCCGCCCATGCACTGAGGGAGCCCCGCCTATGCTCCCCCCAACCCCGAAGAAGCCCCGCCCACACCCCGGGGGAGCCCCGCCCATGTCCCTGGAAGAAGCCCACTCTCTCAAGTCTGATCCGCTGAGCCATCTGGGATGAATTCTGTTTTTTCCCAGGGTGTTGACAGACCCAGGGGTCAAGAGCTCAGAGAGAGTGGAAGGGGACAGACAGGAAGCCCCTCTAACTGCTCTGAGAGGAGGTCAGGATGACACCCCTCACATCCTTTCTGGGAGCCCCCCAGCCCAGCTGAAACAAAGCTCGGCAGGCTACCACCGGACAGCACTGCCGTAGTGAGCTATTATGTGAATTTGTTCTCTCTTCCCTCCTCCGGTAGAACCAGGTAGCACATTTCTTCAGGGAAGGTTTGGGGCAGGGAGGAGGGCAGAAGTGGCTGAGGTGTCTTTTGTAAGAACACGAGTTTATATTAAACGGATTATTCATGTTGAGTCTTTCCCAGGGGAAGCGGGGCATGCCTGCAAGGAGACTGGTAGCCATGGCCTGCTGGTGCACTCTTTCCCCAAAAAGTAGCTACCAAAGCTACTCTTCAGTAGTTCCTAGTGTCTAGAGCCACAAGCAAAGTCACTGCTCAGCCTGGTGACGAGCCTCCCCAGTCAGACTCACAGCTTCCTCCAGGGTCATCTCCTGCATCACAGGGGCTTGGGACCAGCTGCTTGCCTTCACAGGTGTGTTTGCCTAGAATGCCTCCTCTGCTCTGCTACTTAAAACCCTCCTCCCATTCCAGCAGGTCCTCTGCTCAAATGCTTTATGGCCCAGATCAGAATGCACCATGACTCCTCTGGGCAGCCACAGTGGGCTGCCAGCAAACCTCCCACAGCCTCATTAAGTGGCCTCTGGGGGTAGCCTGGGTCTTACCTGTTTGCATGCCCAACAAGCCTGGCACACAGGAGGCTCCTACAGAACGCCTGGGAATTGGACTAGCCATGTCCCCTGGGAGACTCCAATCATCCAACTATCCACTCATTCAACATCCACCCATCCACACATCCAACCATCCACCCATCCACCCATCCACCCATCAACCAACCACGCATCCAGCCATCCACTCATCCACCCATCCAACCATCCAACTGTCCACCCATCAACCATCCACCTATCCAACCATCCACCCATCCAACCATCCAACTATCCACCCATCAACCATCCACCCATCCAACCATCCAACTGTCCACCCATCAACCATCCACCCATCCAACCATCCACCCATCAACCATCCACCCATCTAACCATCCAATCATCCACCCATCCACCCATCTACCCATCCAACCGTCCACCCATCAACCATCCACCCATCCAACCATCCAACCATCTACCCATCAACTATCCACCCATCAACCAACTACCCATCCAACCCATCCAATGATTCACATTGGTTTTCTTTTTTCTTTTTTTTTTTTTTGAGATGGAGTCTCAATCTTTCACTCCAGTCTGGAGTGCAGTGGTGTGATCTCGGCTCACTGCAATCTCTGCCTCCAGGGTTCAAGTGATTCTCCTGCCACGGCCTCCTGAGTAGCCGGGATTATAGGTGTGAACCACCATACCCTGCTAATTTTTGTATTTTTAGTAGAGATGGGGTTTCCCCATGTTGGTCATGCTGGTCTCAAACTCCTGACCTCAGATGATCCACCTGTCTTGGCCTCCCAAAGTGCTGAAATTATAGGCGTGAGCCTCTGTGCCTGGCCCCACCTTGCTTTTCAAGGCTAGGGACCCTACCCAGAGTTACAGGGTTTTGGAGACTTGGGCCTTCTGCCCTCAGAGAAGCACAGACAGACCTCACCAAACTCCGAGTGTCCCCCTCCCGCATCCCTGAGGAAGGGCAGGCAGAAATATGAAGGTCTGTGCTTAGCCCAACACTGGAGTCAAACTCGTCAATAACCCTGACACATGGTGCTGCAGTCAGGGCTGGGCTTTGGAGTCTCTTTGTTCTGAGTTCCATTTCCACTTCTTGTGTATTGTGCCATCCTGGGAAGCTCTCTAACTCCTTAGAACCTCAGCCTCCTCTGCAAAATGGAGCTGATTGGGAAAATGTAGGTGGAGATGAACTAAGAGAATGTTGGTGAGGAGAGGAGCCCAGTGCCTGGCTGAGGTATTGCTGACTGTGGTTATGCCTGTGTTTTTGGAGATTGTCCTGCAGCATGCACATTTTGGGCAGAGAGGGCTCTGAGCTTGAGTCCTCAGCTGGGTGGCAGATGCCCGGGGCATGGCCTGTCTTGCGTGGAGTCGTCGTGCCTGGGCCCTGCCCCCAACTGTCCTCCCTCCTGTGCCCCATGATCAGAATTCCCCTCGGCTATTGGCTTTCCATGTCCCCCATCCTGTGTGCTTGGCTGTGCACTTCTTTTAAGACTTTTACCTTGATAATTTACTCTTCCTGCTTTTGAATTACTAAAGTGAAATCACAGAGAACAACCAACTTACAGATTAAACTGAAATATTTTAGGTGTTAGGAATGGTCTTAATGTGGACCCTCTAATTTTGGGAGTCAGGAAATGTTTATAAACCTTTCTTAGAAATATTATACTGTTAACAACTCCCATTACTTTTCGGTGTTTTGCAACATTTTTGTATTTTTATGTTGCACTAGGCCCAACGTATAATTAGTGCTAATCAAATGCTTGTGGAATCAAACTCCCTCAAGTGACAGAGACAGTATTTCTGAGGTCAACTTTAAAATATTTTGGCAATGAAAAAGAGCAAAGGAAAAAGAAAACAGATATAGCAAATATCACAAAATCTTGATGAACTGCTGAATTGGGGCTAGGGTAGGTGGAAGGTCACTGTGTGTTCTTTCTGCTACTTGTATGCTTAACAGCTTTTATAATTTAAAATAATGATACGGGATGGGTGTAGGAGCCCCAAGCCCAGCTGGGGTTCCCTTCGGCTTGGAGCTGGGCGCAGCGGGTAAGCACTCACCTTTTTATGGCTTTGTAGCAAATGATGACAAGCACAGTCAGAAACACCAGGGAGGCACAGCACACGGCAATGATGACCACCAGCCCTGACCACCAGCTTTCCTCCGCGGGGCAAGAGGTAGAGTTGGGAGCTGAAAGAGACAGGAGCAGCCTGAGTGTCCCCTGGATGAGCTGGTCATGGCCAGTGACGGGGGGACCATCATGGGTGACACTATCAGAGGTGTGGGGAGGTCACTGGTATCCATCACCTGGATGAAGGCTCCCTGATCCTTCCTGCCATCCCTGTCCCCACCCTACAGTAGGTGACATCATGGCTGTCCCCCAGCCAGGCTAGCCTCCGAGTGCCTCCATCCCTGCCCTGGAGGGCTCAGAGCAGGGACTAAGTAAGGGCCATGCCCCAGGCCATCCATCGTCCCTCAGCATGAGCTAACTGACAGCAGGGTCAGGTCTAATTTCCCATGAAAAATAGCAGAGCATCTCATTCTCTCAGCTGAGGCACTAAATCTGGTTCCTCTGCAGGCGGGGGTGGGGAGCAGGGCTCACAGGGGATGCTGAGGAAGGAAGGAAAGAAAGGGGGGACTGCGATGTCCATTTCTTAAGCTAATTTCTTGCAAGAGGCAGACTTTCTCCCTTCTTGGAGTCAGCCCATGGGGTGGGTATTTGCCGCTGTCTCAGTTTGCACAGGGGTGCCCAAAATTTGGAAAAGTGTCATTGACAAGGCACCAGACACTGGTGCTACAGGGCCCTCTCTTACTCAATCCATGGAGTCCTTGGGGGTGAGCCTGTCCTCCCTCCCTGGGCACAGGCTGTGCTGGGGCAGACCTGAAGGACTTGTGTCAATGAGGCAGGTTCACTTTCCTCTGAGAAAGGCAGAGACATCACACAGCCTCATTCCAGGGCTTCTGGGAAGACTCAGACACAACTGGAAAGGAGTTCCCAGAATTGCAAAACAAATTGAAGTAAGAAAGGAAGGAAGGGAGAGGGAAAAGAGAAAAAACAGAGAAAGGGGGATGATGAGGGAGGAAGGAAGGGATGGATGGATGGACAGACAGAGAGACAGTATTAACTTTGGACAGGTCTCTAAGATGTGAATATATGCAAAAGATTGGAAATACACCCAGACTTGGTGTCCACTCTACAATAGATACCTTGAGGGGTGCAATGGTAGGTGGGGAACCAGGGGATGACTTCCCAAAAGGTAATGTGGATGGCTTCATTATTATGATTCTTATCAGACTGTAATCTACATCTAGTGAAATACACCCCCCCATCTTAAAAGTGCCATCCTCTGAGCTTTGACAAATGCATGCACCAGTGGAAGCCACACCTCCAGCATGACCCAGAATATTTCCATCAGCCCAGACAGTGTCCCTGTGCCTCTTTCGAATCAATCCCACCCTGGGGGCAACCACTATTCCGATTTCTAAAATCATTGATTAAATTTGTTCGTTTTTGACATTCACATACATGGAATCATGCAGTATGTATTTTTCCTTTGGTTCCTTTATTTAGGATAGTGTTTTTGAGATTCACTCATGTGACTGCGTATTTCAGCAGTCCCTTCCTTTATTGCTGAATAGTATTTCTTTATATGAATTGGTTTTTCCACTCACTTGATGACCAACATCTAGATTGGTTCCGGTTTTGACTATAGTGAATAGAACTGCTATCAACATTTGTGTACAAGTCTTTGTACAGACACATTTTCCTATTTCTCTTAGACAAAATATCTAGGATTGGAATTGCTGGGTTGTCTGGTATGTGTATGATAAACTTTAGAAGGACATGCCAAGCTGTTTTTCCTGAATGCTTGTACCTTTGTACATTCTGTGCAGAATGAAGAAAGGTAGAAAGAAAGAAGATGGGAAGAAGGGAGTGGTTACTGATCTGTTGCCGCTAGATTAGGAAATCCAGGGAGCCATCATGTGCTTCTCAGGGAACCAGTGACAAGACCCCACTAACAAGTGCCAGGTCCCCAGGAGTGAGCCTCAGATGTCACAGAGACCAGGCAGAATCAGAAATGCTTCCTGATGGTTCCTGCCTGTAATCTCAGCACTTTGGGAGGCTGAGATGGGTGGATCACCTAAGGTCAGGAGTTTGAGACCAGCCTGGTCAACATGGTGAAACCCCATCTCTACTAAAAATACAAAAATTAGCTGGGCATGGTGGCAGGCACTTGTAATCCCAGCTACTTGGGAGGCTGAGGCAGGAGAATCGCTTGAACCCAGGAGGTGGAGATTGTAGTGAGCTGAGATTGTGTCACTGAACTCCAACATGGACAGAGTGAGACTCCTAAAAAAAAAAAAAATCAATTAATCAAATAAAATAAATGCTTCCTGAGAGATGGCTGGCAGAAGGATGCCACTGGGCCCCTCAGCGAGGTCAGGACCAGGACTTTAGAAATCTCAACACTGAAAAGATACAGAATATAGCACTGAAAATATGAATAAACTCTAAAATAAGAAAAAGGAGAGTCAAGGGGATTCTCATTTTCCCCATGATGAACTTGTTCAATGCTTTCTTGGTGAAATATCAAACAAAAAATCCTTCCCTCTAACGCCTCATTTTGGGCTGTCCCTGACTTGGCTGTGTCTCCCTGGGGTGATGCCCCCACCTTCCTTACACAAAGTCAGAAGTCAGAAGTCACTGCTGCAGAGTCAGAAATACAGCCAGATCATCCAAGGCCGTTCTGTCTACACTGCACCCCCAAGCCCCAGAGGTCTACCTCCTCATTTTCACCACAAAGGGAAGCAAGTTTGGTTTCCATGGCTCTACTTCAGGCTGTGACACCTCTGGGCGAGACCCCAGGGCCATGCCTGCCACTGGTCCAGAACCACAGACAGTCACCCGACACTACTGTGGCTGGGGAAATCTACTAGTGTATGGTCTCAGCTAGGGGCCGCTGTACCCACTCCAGTAAGCACTTGGAAATACCGGGGCGGGTGCTGTCTTTGGTTGTCACAATGTGTGATCCCAGCAGCTATGGATGTTAATGACAATGAACTGGATATTCCCACACAAGGTAGAATTGTCCCAGGAAAAAAGCCAACAGGGCCTCTGTTGAGAAATTCCATCAACTTGATTGATTGCAGGGCTCACATGGAATTTGGCACTAAATGTCACAGTGCCTCTCTTCTCTACATTCTGTTAGTTAGGTGAGAATTTTCTTTTGCTATTCCTTTTTAAATGTAATTGATACTAAGGTACAACGTACATCGTGCACAGGGCCCCTCTGATAGTCTGCAAGCACACTTATCACCACACATGTATAAGAAAACTAGCGAAGGCAAAAATGCTAACAGCTCTGAAATTCGGGAGGCATTTTGTGAAACCTAGTCATGGCATACTCTTGGATTTTGCTCAGAAAACCAGCTGTTGTGTTCAAAGAATGCATTCTTATTTATCCTTTCTTGAGTCAATTAGAGAATGTAGCTGGAGGAAGCCTAGGAAGTGTTATTTCAGAAAGGAATATGGAGGATCGGGATCAAGAAGCAATCTTCCCAGGGGCCAGGGTTGGGACCCTGATCTTTGGGCTACAGGCTGGGTCTATCCCTGCCAGAACTTCCCTCCCATGGGGTGTGGCCAGCACCTCTTTCTGGAGGTGCTAAGACAGCTTACATGTGCACAGATTGATGGTTCATATTCGAGAAGATAGCATAATGAAGTGCCTGGCACTGTGCTAGGAGCTGGGAGTACAAAGATAAATCAGATGTAATCTGTGCCCTTAACAGGGCTGGCGCCAGCTGCCCCATGGATCATTAATTACAAAGCTAAGACCTGATCATTTTGCTCAGGAGTCTCCAGAAGAAGAGACACGCACGAATTGCTAATGCACAAGGTGAAGGTCATTTCAGGGGCATGGGTGATGCCTTGTGAGAGACAGGTGGTCAGACAGGGAGGCTGAGACAATCAGAGAGTGCCAAGTTCCAGGACTGAGGCTGCCTGAGCTCTCTACCTCCTCTGTCACCCCACCTACCCCCTAGCCAAGATTCTGTAACAACAGAAAGGCAGGAGCACTCCTGACATCTCAGGGGTTGCAACACTGTCTCTTCCCCGAGACTCAGTGACGTTTTGTCTGCTGTATTCATTAAACACTCCCGATGCCTGTAAAGACGATGAAGCTGGCAACCGGAGAGAGCCGGAGAGCTGCCCAAGCTGCGTTTTGCTTCATCAGAGGAGCAGCTGTCTTTTCGTTATGAGATGCATTGTTAAAAGCTTCGGACGTCTGCTTCTAGCCAAGATGGAGTAACAGGGGCCAGATCTGCCCTCCTGTCTGAAATACTGAAAACCACACCAAAGATTCAAAACAGAGGTTTTAAAAACAGGTAGCTAAAGACAGTGATTCCCAAGGGATGATGCAACAAATGAGGTGAGTTCTACCACAGGCCCAGCTCACTGCCTTGAGAGTTTACAAAACAGTGGTGCAGGAAGGGAGAAGCCAGCCAGGGCCTGGCCAGCTCCGTAAGTTGGAGAGATGGAGCTGATAGTCAAGGGAGTAACCAAGACAGTGAGGTTTCTCCCCAAGGGACCTTAGCGTAGAAGAAGGCAATGGTAAACAAATGCACCAATAAATATATAATGACACATCGTGGCAAGTGCTGTGAAATAAATAGAAAAGAGAACCCCCATAGGTGTTTGCAGAAGAAGCAGGTGGGGTGGGCAGCTTTGGATGCGCCCACCTGTATGGGGTCCAGAAGACCAAGGAGATCAGAAACTTCCCTTGGGGGTGGGGGGCGCTTGTGGACCCCCGCAAGGTCCAATGCATGAAAGAAGTGTGTGAGGTCAGACAAGCCCTCCAGGCACTCTTGGTGGCAAACGCCTCCCCTACTGTCTTCATAGGGTTTTCGTGAGGATCAAAGATGATGGAGGCATTTTTGTGGGTCCAGGAGTAGCAAAGACTTCAAGGCACTACTAGGCACAATGGCACATAGCTCAGTTATATTCTCCTTTCAGAATTGGGGAAACTGAGGCCTCATAGCCAGGGGCCTTGCGACAGTACTCACGGCTAACTCAACACATGCTAACGTCTGAGCTGGGCAAACAGCTATCCCCATCAGAGCCAGCTGTTGGAGAAGCTGCACACAGGAGGTGCTGGATTGACAGGCGAGAACAGAGCCAGTGATGAATGAAT